TAGTTTTCTTTCTCTAATATTAATGTGCTGAAATTATAATAAGTATCATTTAACTAAAAATGTTTAGATCCTGAATGATCCAGAAAAGCTCTATGGATAACCTGAACTCACTGAAAATTAAAACTAAAACCCCCTCTTGCAGCTTACTGAGTAGACAAACCTGTTCTTTGCTCTCCTCAGTGATACTTAGAAATGAGAAAAGACCAGATTCCTGAGGGTTAAAATGTATATGTTGGTATGAATGTTGCTTCACTCACAGGTCTGAGTATAGAACACTTCACAAATTAAATTTCGTTCTGAGTTGCCATTTTTTAGGTTGATGGCATTTGATCTCAGGCAATGCAAATTATTTTTCTTTACTGTTTGAAGTTAGGAAAAGAAGCTTTATAAATTGTTATCCATATTGCAAACAGGTATGACTAAAAACTTGATTTTCACATTGATTTGCTGAAGGAAATACTCAAAAAATTTGAAGGTCTTACTGGACTAAGTAAAAACAATGCACTAAAAATATAAACTTTTATACCCTGGCTGGCGTGTCCCAGTGGATTGAGTGTCGGCCTGTGAACCAAAGCATCACCAGTTCGATTCTCCATCAGGGCACATGCCTGGTTTGTAGGCCAGGTGCCCAGTAGGGGGCATGCGAGAGGCAACCACACATTGAAGTTTTTCTCCCTCCTTTCCCCTTTAAAAATAAATAAATGAAATCTTTTTAAAAATATAAACTTTTAGGGTAATGGAAATAAAAACTATAAAATTCAAAACCAAAAGTTAATTTGTGTAATTTTAAAGAATGTATTTCTGTGACCCTGTTATGGAATTCATAGGTAGAATCACTAAATCTGGTGTAATCTTGCCTAGAGAAATCCAGGAAAGATGTGTATAGGCACTTTTGCAGATATGAAAGGTTGAGGTCTCATAACTCTGAACATGCACACTGAAAACAGTTCTTTTCTAAGTAGATCTATTAATTTGCTAGGACTCTCATAAAAAAGTACCACAGACTGGTGACTTAAACAACAAAAATTAATTTTCTTGCAGTTCTCAAGAAAATTCAAGATCAAGGTGCCAGCATTGTTGGGTTCTTCTGACACTTCTGTTCTGGGCTCGCAAATGGCTACTCCCTTGCTGCCTCTTCACATTGTCATCCCTCTGTGCACATGTGGCCCTGGTGTCTCATTCTCTCTCTCTCTTTTTTCTTCTTCTTCTTTTTTTTAACATGGAGTTTATTTTTTTAATTTCTCAATCACAGTTTACATTCAATATTATTTTTTATTAGTCTCTTCCTCTTCTTATGAGGACACCAGTCCTATTGGATTAAGGCTCCACCCTCATGGCCTCATTTTAAGTCAGTCACCTCTTTACAGACCTTATCTTCAATTACAGTTACACTCATTAGTACGGGGGGCTAGGGATTCAACATATGAACTTGGGCATTAGGGGAAAACACAGTTCAGTCCATTACAGAACCTTAATTGCAAAAAGGCATTCTTGAATGTTACATAAAGTAGACTAAAAAAAAAAAAAAATCAAAGTTGCTTCTTTCTGCAAATATAGATGGCCATAGTTTTCCCTTTCTTCCTCAATTATTTTTTTCTTTCTCCAGTTCTCTCTCTCTTTCTTTTTCTAGGTATAACTTAGGAACATTAAAATACACCCATTTTAGTGTGAAATTATATGTCTTGTGTAACAACCACATTCAATAAGATTTTTGTAATCAAGGTTGCAGGAGGGATGGAACTAAAAGTTGTTTAAATTTCAGTTATATTTTTATTTATTTATTTATTTATTTATTTATTTTGGTGTGTGTTGGAAGGCTGGTACACCAATAAGCAAGGTAAAGCCAAGAAACAAATTCGGGCAATGACCTAAGAGGTAAAGTATATAAAAAGGAGTTTGTTTCCCTGAATGATGTGAGGGGTAGGGAACTGACTGCATCATTCTTGTTTATATAATACACTTTACTCACTGTATCCACCTTTACCAATCTAACATCCTATTATCTTACATTTATCTGGGCTTCCTGAATGTCTCATATATATGTAAGGCTTATACCAGACATATACCTTTATGAAGCTTTCTTCCTGAAGAAAAATTAAACCCATAATGGATCCCCAATTACATAATGTGGAGGATTATTTTTAAACAGTGTAAGAAAAAAACACTTACTTCAGAATTTATAGTTTAGATAGGACAATGTTATGGTTTTATTCTTTCCTTCCAAAATTCATCTTTTACTGTTTGTTTAACATTTTTTGGATGACTCTAAAACGTATTTCCTAAAGTCTACTCTCTCATCTGAGCTATATGGTCTTGGGCATCCCAGAAGACATTGTACCATGAATACCACGGTGTAACCTTAAACTTTTACAACTATGTTCATCATCTCCCCCACTCTCTCCAATAGTTTGCCTTAGACTTCCTAGTTCTACCATTGCTGCATTTTAAGGTCCCAGACTTCAATCACTGGATGCTTTTATTTCTCTCATCCTTTATCGTCGTTTAGTAATCCTGACATATCTGACTTGTATTTTTGTAACAATAGCTTTCTATTGTTTTTTTCAGTGACACTTAACATTGTCTAACATGTACATACTATTCTTATTTATTGTCTGCTTGTTCCCACTAGAATGTAAGCTCCATGATGGCAGGGATTTTGGATTATTGTTGACTGCCATATTCTCAGCACCTAGAATAATATTTGTGAGATAAACTGAGCACTTACAATATGCCAGGCAGGCACTGTGCTCTTTGTCTTCAAACCTTCTGTATACCTTTGGAATAATATTAAAATTCAATCTGAAATGCAAGATATTCATAATATCAAAGACACTCAACCAATCTTACCTGTCTTGTATTAAAACCTCCTCTTCCAAACTGGTCCATTCAGTGCCCCTTGAAGCTTATGTAGCTTTGTTTCCTCCAGCTTTTGCTCAGATAATCTCCTTATAGTAATCTTATTTAGCCTTTGACTCTGAAATTCAGTGCAACTTTCATCTCCTTCATAAATCATTCCTCTTTAATACTTACCACATGGTTTTGGGGCTCTTGGTCACATAATGTCTCATTCTATGTCCCACTCCATGTATTAGTTGGCACACAGAGGTTCAATAAATGGAAGTCTTTGTAATTTTTCTTGCATTCCCACCTGAATGAGTGTCTATAAAGCAGTTATCGGGGTGCATGATATTTGTATTGGGTTGGCCAAAACAAATGTTTAGTTTTTTTCCGTAAAATAAGACACATTTTTCATTTTCACCAATAACTTTTATTGATCTGGATATTTCGAGTATGTTGGCTATCTCCCATGTGGTAAAACATTGTTCTCAATGTCTCAATTTTACTGCTTTCAACTTCAGCTGGTTTACTTGACTGTGGAGTACCCTTCAGTGAGAAATCTCGAGCGCAGAACTTCACACACCACTTTGGACATGATCAAGCAGTCACAGCACCTCCATACACTGCACAAAACGTTTTGCATTTCAGTTGCATTTTTACCTTTCTTGAAATAATAAAGTATAATATGCTGAAAACATTGCTTATTTTCTTCCATCTTCAATACTAAAATGGCTACACAAAAATTCTTCAATTTTGATGTTTTTAAAAAAATGCATGCTGATATGAGAGCTGTCACAATACAATCTAACAAAATTGTTTCAAATGAAGTTAATGACAACTAAGTGCTACTAGAGCCACCTTAGGGAAAAAAAACAAGTGAATATTTTGGCCAATCCAATATATGATGTTTATGTGTTTCCCAGTCTGGTATTAAACACCCTTAAAAAGCTAATGTTTTGCCCTTCCGGGTGTTGCTTAGTTGGCTGGGCGTCAGCCCACAAACTGACAGGCTACAGTTCCATCCCGCGTCAGGGCTCATGCCTGGGTAGCAGGGATTCCTCTGATTGGGGCGCCCAGGAGAGGCAACTATGTTTTCCTCCCTTTCTTCCCCGTTCTAAAAATAAATCTTAAAAAAAAAAAAGTTAACGTTTTAATTGGGAAGAAAGCAATGTATAGATAAGATAAACTAAAACCTATAAAATATGTTCACTGAGGTAAAATGAAAATGTCTGCTGTCGGAGAGCACTACGGGAGATTAAGAGGGGCGTCGCATAAGGGCTTTACGAGTGACCCCGGTTGGAAAGTTTGAAGCGCTTTTGACACACTGCTGTCCTTCACGTCGCCTGGGGCTCGCTTTTGCGCAGGTCCACGTGCCGATGTTTTAGTTTAACTGCGGGTAGGTCCCACAGTAATTGGCTAACCGCCTTCTGCAACCAGGCCTCTACCCTCCATCATTGTGCCCACGGGAGGAGCGAGGATGCCAGGTGTAGCGACCTCGTCGGAAGGTGGCGGGTAAATCCAGGCCCCCAACCCCAACAGTCAAGTTTTAAAAAAACCCGCGCGTGGCGTCCCAGGCCGCATCCGTTGCGAACGGACCCCAGAGCGCCCCCGCTCAGCGCCCTTCCCAAACCCCCCAAGCCCAGGGCAGGGGGAGGTGAAGGGGTGACAAGCAGGGCTCCGGAAAAGGGGGCTTAGGGACCAGCGCTCCAAGGAGCGCGCCTGTCCCCCGGCTGCAGAAAACGGAAGTGATTGCGAGCGTATCGCGGTGATTGGCCGAATTTACATGCCTCTCAAGGGGCTGGCGCGAACGCCACTGCAGAGTTGGGCGAGGGGACGCGGCAAGGGGAGGGGTAAAATCACTGGGAACAGCCGCGTCGCTGGGGGAAAATGAATCGCGGAGGTATGCGGAGGGCAGGAGTAGTCCCTTGTTAGGACACAGTGGAAAGCTGGGGAGTGAAAGCAGGGCGGTAGAGGCGCGGCAGAGCAGAGGACGCTGAGGGCTTGAATAGACGGCGAAGGGCGGGGAGTCCGTGATCGAGAGCCGCGCTGCGGCGCGGTAGGCGGGACTAAGGAGAGCAAGGCGGGGATTGGCCGGCAGCCCTCGGCTGCGGTACGTCGGCGGTGACGCATGGCCCGGGGAGGGTGCGCGCGCGTTCAGCGGCCTCTTTGTGTGGTGCCTAGATAGGAGAGCGGAGGTGGTGGTGGCTGTGGCGGTAGTAACGGCCTTGGTTGTCTTCCAGTTTTCTCAGCTCGCCCTCTAGCCGGCACCTTTCCCCTTCCCTCCCCCTTCCTTTTTTCCTCCTTCCCTTCCCTTCCCTCCTTCCCTTCCCCGCCGGTGACCGGCGGTGGCGGCTCCAGCAACGGCTGGGCCCAAGCTGTGAAGAGGCTTTAGTCAACGATAACGGCGACGGCGAAACCTCGGAGCTCGCAGGGCGGGGGTAAGGCCCGGCCCTTGGAGATGGATAATTCCCAGTTGTGTAAGCTGTTCATAGGGGGCCTCAATGTGCAGACGAGTGAGTCGGGCCTGCGCGGCCACTTTGAGGCCTTTGGGACTCTGACGGACTGCGTGGTGGTGGTGAACCCTCAGACCAAGCGCTCCCGTTGCTTCGGCTTCGTGACCTACTCCAATGTGGAGGAGGCTGATGCCGCCATGGCCGCCTCGCCCCATGCAGTGGACGGCAACACAGTGGAGCTGAAGCGGGCGGTGTCCCGGGAGGATTCGGCGCGGCCCGGTGCCCACGCCAAGGTTAAGAAGCTCTTTGTTGGGGGCCTTAAAGGAGACGTGGCCGAGGGCGACCTGATCGAGCACTTCTCGCAGTTTGGCACCGTGGAAAAGGCCGAGATTATTGCCGACAAGCAGTCCGGCAAGAAGCGTGGCTTCGGCTTCGTGTATTTTCAGAATCACGACGCGGCAGACAAGGCCGCGGTGGTCAAGTTCCATCCCATCCAGGGCCATCGTGTGGAGGTGAAGAAGGCCGTCCCCAAGGAGGATATCCACTCCGGTGGGGGCGGGGGCGGCTCCCGGTCCTCCCGAGGCGGCCGGGGCGGCCGGGGTCGCGGCGGCGGTCGTGACCAGAACGGCCTCTCTAAGGGCGGCGGCGGCGGTTACAACAGCTACGGTGGTTACGGCGGCGGCGGCGGCGGCGGCTACAATGCCTACGGAGGAGGCGGAGGCGGTTCGTCTTATGGTGGAAGCGACTACGGTAACGGTTTCGGCGGCTTCGGCAGCTACAGCCAGCACCAGTCCTCCTATGGGCCTATGAAGAGCGGCGGCGGCGGCGGCGGCGGAGGAGGCAGCAGCTGGGGCGGTCGCAGTAACAGTGGACCTTACAGAGGTGGCTATGGCGGTGGGGGTGGTTATGGAGGCAGTTCCTTCTAAAAAAAAAAAAAATTTAAATACCTGGGAGTGGCTATAGGGGTAGCTCTTCAACCACCCAACTAGGGTCAGTTCCCAAGTCCCTTCCCCTCCCACCGCCTTCCCCATTTTGCCCTTGGGGGAGCTGCTTCTAAGGCTGCTTACTCTTGGGGGTGTTGCCCTATTTGCCTGCCACCTCTCTCGTCTCTCCCTCTGAAGATGGACTCTGCCCCACATACACATTTTTGTGTTACAGTTATTGATGGACTCTATTTTTTTATTATTACTTGGACTTTCGTCGTTTTTATACTAGCAGAATGTCTTGTTTTAATTTGTGTTTTTTGGGGGGAGGGAGTGAACTTGCTGATTCTGTAGCAAAACTTGGGTGGGAGTTGGGGTGGGGGGTTAGTTTACTTTGTTGTAAGGACTTGATACCTGGCTACAGCGTTTTCTATGAAATCTACTTGGATCCCATGCCTGAAATTTGGAAGCATATGTACAAAAATCATTTTTACGTTTTATTTTTAATAAACCATTGTGTTTGACCGTACATGTCTATAACATTTTTTTTTCTATGACACATTTCGTACCGTTTTAAGGCATATTAGTTGAAGTTTTTGTGTGTGTGTGTGTGTGTGTTAATTCTTAATTTTGATGTGTACTTAGGGGAACTTTTAAAAGGTCCTGTGGTTTTTTGTTTTTTGTTTCTTTTGTTGCCCTACTAGTGATGTGTTGAATTTTATCCCTTTACAGGCAAAACTTTTGAAATGGTGGATGTGGCTTTTTAAAAACCTTTAAAGTTTCTGTGCGTCCATCTCTTGTACTAAAGGATTTGCTTATCATCTTGACATGATCGGTTACTTCTTACTATGAAAATTTACTTCAAAGTATGTACTGTGCAGTTCTAAAGAAATATTTTGTGTAAAGCATGTGTTTCATTCATATAAACTATTTAAAAATTTTCACATGACCTAATTTTATCCCTCTTAATGGTTTGTCTGTAATGAATGGCTACAATAAGGGTTATATTTTACCCTCAAACTAAATGCATTTTTGTATTTTCACAGCAGGTTTAAACGTTTTTTCCTATAGATGCTGTTCTTACAGAAATCCTACCCCCAACGTTTGTAGCGCCATCTACTGGCGAAATGGCAGTATATGTGCAAAACAACTTGGTCAAAAACTTGTTTGGAACAATTGCATCAGATTTAGAAGTTTAGCCATCAAAAAATCTGTTCAGACTTTGAATACTCGTTTACTTTAGGTGGGCTTTACAGGAATGTAGTTAACAGTCCATATCACAATTGCCCTTTTTATATGAGATTTGAAAATGTAAACTGCTAGGCATAGCTTGGACAATGGCCCCAAATTGCTATGACAACTAATGAACCAGCTACATGTACTGGTATCTTAGGTGCAAATTGTAAACTGAAATATCTGTATTCTGCGTGGTTAACAAATGTGTATATGTAGCCCTTTAATGCAATAGATTTCAGTTGTTTATAAAAAACAAAACAAAGATATAGGAGAAAATTGCCTTCCTGGATAGAAATATAGAATAGCAACGTTTATGGATATCACAAATAAAGAATTCAGTTCTTTACATGATTGAGTGAGAGTATGTATAACCTGGTGGGTGGGTTCAGATTACCTATTAATCTAGAACATTTACTTTAATATTATAAAATAATTGGCTTGAATCTTTATAGTTGGAAGCTGTACTAAGAAGCTTTTAGAAGGGGAGATTCTTTGGCTTAAAGAATATTTCACATTGGTCCCCTTTCTCTTGTCACTATATGTTTTTAAAGGTCTAATTCTTGATAATTTTTTTTAATTGTCAAGGCTCTGCTTTTCAAGAGGAATGTTCAAGGTTGCTAAGCCAGATTAGGGCTGCTCAGTTGTCACTTTGACAAAGAATAGCTGATGCTTGGTACAAAAATCTAAATGTACTTCTATGGTAAATGGGATAGATGTTTTTGCACATTAAATAAACACAGTCAAATCTTTTGCTCCCAAAATGTTCTACAGTTCCCTTAAATTAGTTGCATTCACGTTTAGTGATACACTACAGCTTCTAGGATACAGAGAATGATAATGCTCACATTTTTTGTTGTAATTGTCACTGCTTGTCTTTTACTCAATTTTAATAGAAAGATCTATTTTTTCTGGGTCATTTGGAATAGACCACCTTTTGGAGGGTTTTCAAAGTGATAAGATTGTTGTCATTTTGAATTCCAACATAGTGACTTCTAAAAAGTTAATTATGTAAAACTTTGCTTGAAAAGTGACTTAGTGTTCTGTTCATTGTCACGTATCTACCTTTATAAATTTCTGTAATTTGGACTGGTATTTAGTGAAGTCAAAAGCATAATGGTTTACTTTTTCCAAAATCCTCTTGTTGATTTTTATGCAAGCATTTTTTGGCATGTGGGACTTTTTTTGTGGGGGCGGGCAAGCAGTTGTATGTTTTGATTTCTTTTCACCTGTGAGAACTATCTAAATGTTATTCAAATTTAATATAAGAATTCATGGAAGTAGGTGGTACAGAATCTAGTCAGTATTGGATACAATTTTTGAAGCATGCTTTAATTTGGAAGATTAGCAAAATAAAAGTGAACCTATTTTTTTGTCTCCCTATTGTGAAGAAGTCTCGCAATTACAGTACTTTTAAGTTCAATGGTAATTAGTTAAAAGTGGTTTAAAAGGTCCTTAAAAATTGATACTAATTTCAAATGTTAAACTTGCAAATGGTTATTATTCATAGTGGTGACTGTCAAATCAGAATGATAACATGGGTTGTTTGACCCTACAAGTTAGTGACCCAGAATATAAATTTCATATTTAGATCTACTTCACGATGAATATTTGTTTTTAGTAATGTTAAAGAACTGAGGGTACTTGAGAATTTGGTATTTATGATTATTTCCCTCAAGACCAGAAGTGACAGTGTTAGTTACTAGGTTTGTAGCCTTTTAACTGTGCTTGCTTTTCTCAAATTTGAGAATTTGCATTTAACATTAAATATTGTATGCCTGTATCTTTGCTGATTGAAAGTGGGTGTTTGGATGGTGGATTGATTTGAGCAGAACTGCTCTAGACAGTATGTGTGTGTGTGTGTCCCCAAAAGACAACATCTGCATTTAGGGTAGTAAGTCTCTTTCATTTTAACCAATTTACTGAGTCATTGAAGACTTTGGTCACTGGGAAAAATGCCTTCTCTTCCCTGTTTCAGACAGGCCTTTTTTTGTTTTATTCTGAAACAGGGCAATAAAGACTACCTCTAAACAAATGGGCAATGCTTTCTCTCAGTGTCTTTTTGCAGGTTAAAGTGCCTGTATCATGCTTTATGTTAAAAGTGAATATACATTCTAAGTATTTTTCCAATTAAAAAGTCCCTTGAAAGAGTAAAGCCAAAGAAACACCTGCTGTACGAGGTCTGTCCAGAAGGTATCCAGCCATGCAATATGAAAGAGACATTTATTGAAGAAGGTAAAAGATACAAGAAACATTGTATGTAGGACAATGATGCCTCAGTCCCCTTCAAAGGAGGCACCTTGGGACCTCACGCGGTTCTCCCAATTACCATCAGCTGCCCTGTTGTATTTTCCTGAATCTCATTGACAGCCTGAAATGTCTGTCTTCCCTTTCAAAGGTGATTTTAGTTTTGGGAAAAGTCAGAAGTCACAGGGCACCAAATCCGGGTTGTAGGGCAGCTGAGTCATCTGGGTGATTTGATGTTTTGCCCAAAAAACTACATGAGAGATGCATGTGGGTGCGTTGTCCTGACAAAGCCGTTAATCACCAGTTGCCCATAGCTGCCTGACCTGAATCATCTGAATAGTTTTTGCAGAGGAATGTTCAAGCTTAACACAAAATTTGATGCAGATTTGTTGCTCTACTCAGTCATTCTGTTTTTTGATCTCCCCTACCCGCTTCTAACTCAGTCATTTTGAAAGTGCTGGCCACACAGTACACATGCTCACTCAATGGCATCTACTGTCCCCACTGACTAGTACAGTGAAGTCATTCACATATATGCATTCCAGTCCACTCTCTTTGGCTGCCAGGTTACATTGATGTTGCACCAACCATTCTCATCATATTAACAATGGCTGGTCTTTTCCTGGACAGACCTCATCGTATATTAGAAAATAATAGTATTGCATAACATTTGGATTGTACTTTATCAGAAAATACTAATATTACCAAGAAATAGGAAATTCAAAAATCTTAATCTTTTTGGTGTATTTTAAAAAGTAACCTAGAGTTAAACAACTGCTTATAAACCAAACTAAAAAAGTAAAATTCCTATGTGAGCAAACCCCCCTTCTCAAGGATAATCTTTGTTAATGAGTATACAGCTAGATTTTTTTTTATATGCATTTAGGTTAATTAAAAAAAATAAGATTATATAGTTTTGTGGTTCAGGTGTATATTAACAATTCACGTATCAAGGCAGGTCAGTACTCAATCCATTGAGCCACACCAGCCAGGGCTTATATGCACTTAGGTTAATTTAAAAAGATTATATAGTTTTGTGGTTCATGTGTATATTAACATTTCATATATCAAGGCAAATAGACCTTCATTTTTTTTTTTAATCCTCACCCAAGGATTTATTGATTTTAGAGAGGGAGGAAGGAAGAGAGAAAAACATCAACGTGAGAGGGATACATTGATTAGTTGCCTCCTAATCGAACCTGCATGGGGATCGAACCTGCAACCTAGGTATGTGCTCTGACTGGGAGTCGAACCCACAACATTTTGGTGCATGGGATGATGCTCCAACCAACTGAGCCACCTAGCCAGGGCTACACCTTCATTCTTTTTAATGTCTCTATGTTTCATCATATGGCTGTACCATAACTTAAAACATTCCTCTCAATGTATATGAGTTTTCTTCTATCTATTGCTAGGAATAATGGAGTGATCATTATCCTTGCAGATATGTTTTTGCTTGTCAAATATACACTTAGTTGATGAGACAGCTACCTCAGAGTTAAATGTGCTAAATACTGCAGAAGTTTTTTGGTATCAAGTATTTTTCAGTTCTCAGTATACATACAGAGAAAGGTACATAGTGATGGCTTTAAAGCCTTAGGGTAAATTCAACTAAAACACTTTATACTGAAAATTGTCAAAGTTAGATTATACAAGGTAAAGACTTAATGGCCTGTGAGGACCATTATTGTATTTTGCCATGTTTAATATGCACTTCTTTTGCCCAAATTTTTGAGGGAAAGATAAGGATGAGCATTATACATGGGTATAATGATTACATACCATGCATATTGTAATAGGTATAATTCATGTATAATGTGCACAAAAATGTGGGTGTACATTTTATACAGCAAAATATGGGTATATTATAATCTTCCCCTTTTGTTTTTTCCAGTAATTTTACTTTAGAAATATTTGCCAGTTTTTGCATATGATGTCTGCACATGTCACTTAGATAACATTACTGTCTGAAGAAATAAAGTTAAGGTACCATTTACTGTGTTGCTATATGCCTTACACTAAGTACTTGGTATGCATCATTTCATTTTTCAGAGTAATTCTATGAGTTCTAATGTCTCTGCTGCATATTAGCTGAAGGCTTACCAAATGTAAGTAATTTGCCTATGATCATGTAGCTATTGAGAACAAGAAACAGGCATCTTGCTTAATTCTAAAAGGCACATTATAAAGTAGAACAACAAAAAAAAAAGACACCTTCTCTACTCATAGATAACCAATACAGTTTGTCTCCTTCTAGGTCTTTTTATTTGCATGGACCAATAAAAATTGGACCATTTTATATATACTTATGTATTATAACTTCAAAGATATTCTTTCATATCTATACATATAACTAATGTAACTGGTGTACTGTTCTGTAGATGCACCATAATTTTTTGATTAGCATGTTTCTAGTTTTTCTTCTGCTTATAATTTAAAACAACTTCTGCAGGGCTTGTTTTGCAATTTACAACATAGCAAAGAGAAAAAAAGGAAATATAGGAGCCTGGCTGAAGCCATTGGGTTATACTGGTGTCCTGCTAGAGCCCTACAAGGATTTGCTGGATATTCTACAGTTGTTTTTTTTATTAACTTTATTGATTTTTAGAGCTAGTGAGAGAGAGGAACATGGGTGTGTTGTTCCACTTTTCAGCATTCTTTGGTTGATTCTTGTATGTCCCCTTATTGGGGTTCAAATCTGCAAACTTGGCATATTGGGATGATGCGCTAACCAACCAAGCTACCTAGCCAAGGCAGACAGTCGTAACATTCCAATTTTGCTTTGTCATTTTTTCCTCCCAAATTGTGTGTTAGTGTTTTATGAGAAAGACTTGATTAAAAAATATGTAACTTATCTCCATTAGAAACAAGCCTTAGTGTTCTTTATATTCCGAAGGGACTATACATTGAGGTTTGGGATGATTTAATAGTAATATATATGCCATTTATTGCTCTTTTCTGGTTTATCCTACTTAAAACTTGCAACATCGTATTTCAGTTGTGTGTTTATAGAGGATTTTCACTACAGAAATTATCTTTAGTTGAATTTTTAACTATTTGCTGAATATCAAGAAGCTAAAGTGGAGAAAACAGGCTGGAAAGGGCATCCTTGGAGAGGTTTGCTCTGCCTCAGGTGGGCAATAACAATCTAAATTTTCAATTGAAATATCTTCAGATCTTACTACTTAACCTTGGTAGGTTAACTTTCTTTCTTATGATGTGAAGACTATGATCACTTTTTAATTTGATAATGTGTTTTAATCATTTGGTAATTACTCAGACTGGCTCTTCTAATTCATTCAATGAAAATTTATTGAGCAGATCTTAGCTAAATAATAAGTAAGGGTCAGCCCTTGCTCACAAGATGCCCACAATTTAGTTTGCATTGTGGGAATTTAAAGAATTGTGGTAGTGTCCTGGCTGGTGTGGCCCAGTGGATTGAGCCAGTCTGAACCTAAAGGTCACCAGTTCAATTCCCAGTCAGGGCACATGCCTGGGTTGCGGGCCAGGTCCCCA